CGAAATTCTGGTCACCTGCACTAGAAGGGCCAAGAAAGCCGTTTCCCTCAATGCATCCGAATGATGTTGTAATTCCCACAATTAATATCTACAACGAACAACAGCGAGTTTCCAGCGCTGATATCCTCTTCACCAGTTTCTATAAAGTCTCCATTGTTTCCTTGCTGATGATCGTGTTATGGTTTGAGGCAAATTTCGCATCTTGAACTTCCTGCTCATTTTTTTTTTAATTTTTGGTTTTCGTACCCTCAACTTACAAAAATACAGTCAGCACTTGTCATAGTACTGCTGGCAAAAAAAGTCAGCTAATACGAACCTGGTGTCTTTACAGTTCCCTCACGTCCGACTTACATGCGTAAATCCACCTAATAACGAACCTTAAATGGAGAAAAGCACGAAAATTTTATTTCTTGTACGATTAGGATTGTTCAAATTCAATTTTAAAGAATTTAACCAGCTAGTAAAAAACATTTTTTCTGCTAGGAGTTATGCTTATTAGCTAAATAAGGAAAAGATGATGAGTCAGAAAGATATTGACGACTTTCGAATACATATCGATAAAATGTGCCAAAACGCAACGAACACTACTACAAGGGTTGACTGTATTCAATTGTAAATCGTGTTGTACCTCTTTACATCTATACTGCTGATGATTTGGAATTGCGAGCTTAGTGTTCATTGAATGAATNATAAAATGTGCCAAAACGCAACGAACACTACTACAAGGGTTGACTGTATTCAATTGTAAATCGTGTTGTACCTCTTTACATCTATACTGCTGATGATTTGGAATTGCGAGCTTAGTGTTCATTGAATGAATGGCCATTGTAAATTGGAGCGTATAGCAATTTTTTTCAAAGCTCAGAAAACGGCTTGATGAATTGTAGAATTCGGCCCCGAAATGCGGACGCCCCAAAATACGGATGATTCGACGCAGGGACACTTCACCAACAATTCTCTACAAATGCGAATGTTTTATTCTTAAAAATGCTGACATATCTTGAAAAAATGGAGCTTTTTAAATGCATAAATTTAAAAGAATGAACTTTATTATTAATTCCCTTTAATTCATAATCCCAAAGAATCTAATTATATGCTCTATTTTAGAGTTACAGTATTTCCATCATCTGTGCAGAGAATAGGAAGACTTGTTTTTGTTTTGCTTTTTGGGCTTAGTTTTATGTCAGAACCGATCAGATTATGCGTGGTTTTTCTCTCGCACCGTTAATTTCTGTAACTTGAATTTTTTTTAATTGTATTCGAATTTTGGGGGATTTTCTTCTAATTTTTGAATAACAGGCGAACTAAGTTAGTATACTGTATTTCCATCGAAGCATAAGGGACAACTTGATCCAATATAGAAATACAAGCACTAATTATGTCCGCATCTCGGGCCCCACTAGAATTGTTTGTTAATGCCGGCGTGGCGTAATAAGAAATGATTTTTGAAATGCTCCGATGCAGGGCAATGAATGGAATAAAATCAATCTCATCCTTGTTAAAAATGGGATTTTTAATGAACAATGAGAACACTTGACGAGAGAAAAAGGGTTCATTGGATGAGGCGGCATAGTCACCATAGAAACCTTGAAATGATTTTTCAAACTTCAGTATAGGAGCAAAGTTGCCGTCCTCCAATGGAAGATGCCTTCTCTTACGTGACCATGCTCATAGTTGAATTTGGAGGTGAGCGGAATGGTTTCCTACCAGAGATTTTGGAGTGGGGGTTCTACCCCCACCAGAAACTGGTTATATTCCTATCAATCCCTGGGACCTTTCATTATTGGCATTTAGAGGACATCTGTCTTTAGTTGAAACATCTTAAAATGGGAATTATATTAGTTTATATAGTGCTAAAATTGTTCAAAGTTGGTTGAATTTTCTGTTAGGTTAAATTAGGTTAGGTTAAGTCAGGTAAATTTAGGATATTTTAAGTTAGTTAGGTTAGGTTGGTTAGGTTAGGTTGGTTAGGTTAGGTTAAGTCAGGTAAATTTAGGATAGGTTAAGTTAGGTTGAGTCAGGTAAATTTAGGATAGGTTAAGTTAGTTAGGTTGGTTAGGTTAAGTTAGTTAGGTTGGTTAGGTTAAGTTAGTTAGGTTAGGTAAAGTCAGGTCAATTTAGGATAGGTTAGGTTGGTTAGGTTAGGTTAAGTCAGGTCAATTTTGGATAGGTGAAGTTCGATAAGTTCCTTCTTTTTGTAAAAATGTTTATTACATGAACTTTTTGTACAACGAAGAATGCAGAAAGTAATTTCGGATGTCCCCAAAAAACAAATGATGAAATATTGAAATATCCCCATTTACCAGTGTGTGGGATGAGAGCAGAAATCCATCACACAATCAGATAAGCTGGTAGGAAACCATTCTGTAGACCGGTTCGGATACAGGTGTTCAGTATTTTGCGTCTATTGAGAGCCAGGATTTTCAACACTTTCGGGCGCAAAAAAACTCGTTCATTTAGCGATGTAGCGTACAGTATTCTGATCACCATTCACTAATACGACTCTATTCATCAATTTGAGAAAATTCGCTTAGCCAAAGTTCATGTTTCTCGTGCATCATCATAAACTGCGGGGAATGCATCAAGTCGCTTATTCAGGTACAGTGAGTTTTGCGCATTTGACACAGTCTTCTGATCGTATGCCTGCGGAACGCCTGAACACCTGTTTAGTAAGAGTACGTTGGCCCTAAAGTGAAAACAAGGACTAGTGACTAGTTGTGGACTGTAGACAGACGTGCCGGTAGTTGTTGTAAAGCTGCTGTAACGCTCCACTGCAGCTCCAGCCGTAATGTACATTCTGGATCACACGTAGATGATGTGACGCCTATACTCGTATACAGTATGTACAGTATATAATTTCTCTTTCAGGTGATTTCAACTGCTGGGCGAAAAGTCAATGAGTTATATACAGTAAACTGATACGTTTTCCTTTCGAAACATTATAAACAGGGTCCAAGTACACCGTAACAAGTAGGTACAAGGATTTGAATGATTGTCGGTAAGAAGTGAAGAAATAGTTTCAATCATATGCGAGGAACGTTTCGGCGAGATGAAAGTTGGTACTGTGATTGAAATCCATCCTTTTTACCGAGACATTTTCCAGAACTTGTGATTGCTGCGCCCTTGGCGTGAGACTACTGGAATCTTTGGATTTTCACAAATATATTTTCTGCAAAATTGCTTTTTTTTTACATGAAGAAGAATTCTTAAAATTACGCGTAGTTTTGGGTGTTATTTTATAAGCATAAGATTGTTGATTTCAGGCAATACGTAGCACAGTAAAAGCGCAAAGATCAAGATCAATGATCGAAACTCTTTTCCAAGTATTTCGGAATAAAAATGTTCGGCATTGACGATGCGTTTACTAATTAAAGACATGACCGTAAATATGTCGAGAATTTCAGAGATTTCGACAAGCATTACATATCTGTTCTCCCTACGCTGGTGAAAGTTTTAGGCATTCGGATCTGATCGTAAATGTGGACCAAAAAACCGTACATTGATCAGGATTGACCAGGTTTGCTGCATGTATATTGGGGAAGAACCAAGTGACCATATGAGTCACTCGTTTTACTCCCAGCAGTGTACCACCCATCAGGTGGCCTGCACTGAATTTTGTTAACGAGGAAAATTTTACGCTCATTAAAATTGAATAATCCCTGCTCTCGTCTCCGGGGTTAGCTGGTCTTGGCCAAGCAGCCATCGTCACAGCCACCATGGCTGACGACGAGAACGCGGCGCCCGAGGGCGAGATCGACGAGTCGCTCTACTCTCGTCAGATCTTCGTCCTGGGCAAGGAAGCCATGATGCGAATGGCAGTTGCCAACGTCTGCATATCCGGAATGGGAGGACTCGGTGTCGAGATTGCCAAAAACGTGTGTCTGGCTGGCGTGAAGACCGTCACGCTGCACGACGAGAAGCCCGTGACCTGGTATGACCTCAACTCTCAGTTCTACGTCAAGGAGAACCAAGTGGGCAAGAACCGAGCCGAGAGTTGCCTGGGACTCGTGTCTGAACTCAACACCTACGTGCCCACAACTGCGTCCACTGCACCTATTGACGAGGCCTTTGTCAAGAAATTCCGGGTCATGTGTCTGTCTGACAACTCGTTCGAAGAACAAGTGCGAGTCGGGAAAATGTGCAGGGACAACAAGATCATTTTCATTGTGGCTGAGACCAAGGGTGCCTTTGGCAAGGTTTTCTTCGACGGTGGCGAGGATTTCGAGTGTGTGGACCAGAATGGAGAAGCTCCTCTGATTGCTCCGGTTATCAACATCTCGAAGGCTGAAGACGGCATGGTCACGTGTCCAGATGACAATCGACACGGATTCGAGACTGGAGATCATGTGGCTTTCACTGAAATCAAGGGTATGACTGAGCTTAATGACCGCGATCCCATTCCCATCAAGGTCACGGGTCCATTCACATTCACCATTGGTAACACGATGGGTTTCAGCGAATATGAAGGACCAGGAGGAACTGTCTCTCAGGTAAATCATCAGCATACAAATCTTTCAACCACCCTCCTGCAACCAATTCAAGATGTTGTTTATAACCAAATTATGTACCCAAGAGAACTGAAATGGTCAACAAATTTGAGCTGAATTCTATTGTCTAAGTTGGGAAAAACTCCATCACAGGTACCGTATTTGTTTCTCTGCCAGAAGAAAAACGTTTCCGAATAAATAATTGAAATGCACACTGCTTTTCCTGTGAATAAGGACAAGATCGTATTCTAAACATAACCGTGTACCTGAATGACAAGGGGTTTAAACAGAACTGAATTCGGAAGAGTTGACTCCGTGTAAAACCACGGGAAGTCAGTTTGACTAATGCTGTGCCTGTGAACTAAAAATCCTGACTGAGCTTTGGAATAGAAGAGATCCTACAGGACATCTGTGGCAAATTCAAGATATGCTTGCCAAATTTTGTGTCCAAGAGCAATAAAATGAAAAAACCTATGCAGGCGGTACCTTTCAATTAAATTTCCAATAATTTGTCTCTGCCACAATTTTATTTATAACGACCCATCAGTTGAGTTTTAAACTGGAGACGGTTTGCTGTTAAGTCGGACGTGTTTCTCTTTTACAGTTTAAACTACATCATTTGTATTGTAAATTGTAACAGAGTGTTATTTAATCAGAGCTTCACCATTTGTCCCTATCCCAGTAAAAAAAATTAGGGTCAAATTGTTGGGTACCATCTGTCCTAGAAACCAAAGCTCAAGTCTGGAAAATTTCCCTTTTTTTCTCTCCGCCAGTGGAAAAGTCTTGCTGAAAATAAATTACCCTGTTGATAGGTGTTTCCCTGTATACCAAGCTTAGGATCAGCATTTGAGGTTTTTATAAACCAATGGACTCACTTGTCCTGGGATGGAAAGTGAGCCTGGTGAATTAAAAGGGATACCTATGGTCATGATCATGCACTTCTTGTAAATTCAAAACTAATTATGAATGTATTCCTCAAGGTGAAAGTCCCAGTGAAGCTGAGTTATCTCAGTTATGATGACGCTCTTGTCAACCCTGAGCACATGATCTCCGACTTTGCCAAAATGGATCGCATGAACCAGCTGCATTTGGCATTTCAATCCATCCACAAGTTTGAGGCTGACAAGGGCCAGTTGCCCAGGCCATACAATCGAGCTGATGCTGAGGAATGAAGGCCTGTTCTGGAAAGTTTAACCCTCTGAATCAGTTCTTGTACTTCGATGCCACTGAGTGTTTGCCTGACGATGTGGAGACGATCTCTGAAGACTCAGCTGCTGCAGTGAGTTTATCTTATTGCGAGATTGACGTATTCAAAAATTATAAAATATTGCTTAGAAAGTTAAATGGGGTTTTCATAGACTGTAACTGCTTTGAATATGTAGACCCAATAGTAAGGTTGATACAATTGGACCTTCCTAACTCTAGCCTCAGTTGGGCAGGAACTCACGAGTTTTCTTCAGTCTGCCTGAATTCGCTGAAGATAGATTTTAATGTAGCCATCCCAAACTCAGACTTTCCCTCAAACCTGTAGTCTGAATTTCAAAAGTCCATTTTGCAAAGGGGACGTCAGGAAGGAGAAACATAATCATTCAACTTCTTACTTTTCAAAAAAGTGATAATACCAGGTGCTTCTGGTTTAGCATCCTGTCAACTTAACTTATCCAGAATTTTGAGGCCCAGCATAATATATGCTGACTAATTTTTTTTTTTCCTTCCGAGGAAAAATTTAAGTTTTGTTGTGCTCGAAAACTCAGATAGTAAAATGTTTCGTGAGTCCCTTCTCACCAGTCCACAGGGAATTTTTTTGCATTTATCAAAAATGATACAGTTATGAAATCTGTTACCTTCATCGAAATTTTTGAAAAAAACAAAAGCAGTTGATGAAAATTTGGCTTTTTGCTGAATAATGCTAAGAATAATGAATTCACCTGATAAAATAAGTTATTTCCATTTTTCATTCTGAGAAAACTTTCTTCAAGCCTATCATTCCAATTTTTGAAGACCATAGCTTAATTGGTTCTCAACTTGATTTTTGTAGAAAAGCAGGGAATTTTCAAAAACCTGCCATGAAGTCTTCCAAACAAATTCATTTGAGTCTGCGTAAATTTTAAGAAATTTAGCTAGTCAGCAGAAGAGGTTTTGGAAATTCGGTGGACCACCAAAAATCTATGAAAAATTTCTGGCTCCCAACACATTTTATGGAAATTTGCCAGTCTGTGGTCCTAGAAAGGCTAGGTAAGCACCGATAATCCAACGCTTTAAATTGGAAGTGATGAAAACATTTTGTATCTCATTTGTCTGGATTTTTAGAAAAATTCTTGGTCAGCCTATTTCAGAAATCATTCATCTTTTTAAAGATGAATTTGTGTATCCATGCACCGTTTGTTTTTTTGTTTCTCCGTTTCTGCAGCAAAACAGCAGGTATGACTCAACACTGGCTGTGTTTGGAACAGACTTTCAAAACCGGATTGGAAATGTGCGATTGTTCGTTGTGGGTTCTGGTGCCATTGGATGCGAGCTGCTCAAGAACTATGCCATGTTGGGCATTGGATCTGGCCCTGGAGGCATGATCCTCGTCACTGACATGGATGCCATTGAAAAGTCCAACCTCAACAGGCAATTCTTGTTCCGTCCATGGGATGTCGGCAAGCAAAAGTCGTCCACTTCAGCTCTGGTTGTCAAGTCAATGAACCCCCAAATTCGCATCATGTCTCACCAGAACCGAGTCGGCAAGGACACTGAAGGCATTTACAATGAGTACTTTTTCAGCAGACTCACCTGTGTCACAAATGCTCTAGACAATGTGGATGCCCGCAAGTACATGGACTTGCGATGCGTCTACTTCCGCAAGCCCCTTTTGGAGTCTGGAACCCTGGGAACCAAGGGTAATGTACAGGTCATCTTGCCCAACCTGACTGAGTCCTATGGCTCGTCTCAAGATCCCCCGGAAAAGTCCATCCCTATGTGCACCCTCAAGAACTTCCCGAATGCCATCGAGCACACTTTACAATGGGCCAGGGATCTTTTCGAGGGCACCTTCACCACTGGGCCTCAGGATGCCGATTCTTACATCAATGACCCTGAGTTCATGGACAGGACTCTCAAGTTGCCTGGCAGTCAACCTATGGACATCTTGGAGAAGGTCAAGTCGCATTTGGTGGATGACAAGCCCAGCAGCTTTGAAGACTGCATTGCCTGGGCCAGGCTCTTCTGGGAAGAGCTGTTTGTCAATGTCATCAAGCAGCTGTTGCACACTTACCCCGCAGACACAACTACGGAAAGTGGGCAGCCGTTTTGGAGTGGTCCGAAACGACTTCCGCATGCCTTGTCTTTTGACTATGACGAAGAAAAGTGCCAGGAATTCGTTGTGGCTGGTGCCAATTTACGAGCATTGAACTATGGCTTCAAGGAGAACCGTGATCGAGACTACATTGGCAAAATTGCCAAGGGTGTTTCAGTGCCTGTTTTTGTGCCCAAGGATGAGAAGAAAGAGAAAGAGAAGAAAGAAGGGGAAGAGGAGGAGGAGGAGGAAGAGGAGGAGGAAGAGGAAGAAGAGGAAGATGATGGCGCAGGAGATGAAGCAGCCATTGCTGAACTTCGATCGCAAATCCCACCACCTTCTGCTCTTAAAAGCTTCAAAATCATCCCTGCTGACTTTGAAAAAGATGACGATTCCAATTTCCACATGGATTTCATTGTAGCTGCATCGAATTCCAGAGCAGAAAACTACGATATTCCTCCTGCTGATCGGCTCAAGGCAAGAAATAATCATCATAAACTACACTAAAGTTTGTTTATTTTGAATTATAAAAACTTTTTCAAATTTCAGAGCAAAGGTATTGCTGGGAAAATTATTCCTGCAATTGCCACCACAACTTCTCTAGTTTGTGGGCTTGTCTGCATTGAGTTGTACAAGTTGGTTCAGGGCCACAAGAACTTGGAGAGATTCAAGAATGGTTTTATCAACTTGGCACTGCCGTTTTTTGGGTTCTCCGAGCCAATTCCGGCTGATGTTCACACGGTAAGTAAATGCTTTTTTTCTTTCAAATTTTGAAAATAAATTCACAAATTTTATGGAACGCGTTGAAAAATTATTTTCAGTACCACGACAAGAAGTGGACATTGTGGGACAAGTTCGAGATCAGGGAAGAGAAGGCGCCGACAATGACGGCATTCATTTCATTGTTCAAGAGACAACACAAACTAGACGTGACCATGGTTTCTTATGGCGAGACAATGTTGTTCGCTGATTTTATGCCTGAAGACAAGATCCGAGAGCGGTTGAAGATGTCCATGAGAGACTTGGTTGTTCAGGTAGCTGACGATGATATTCCGCATTGGAAGAGAGCCCTTGATTTCGAAGCTGCAGCTGAAGACAAGGATGAAGAAGATGCAGATATTCCTCCTATTCGATATGTCTTGAGTCAATCATAAGTTTGTTATACCTGCTGGCAACGTGATCGACTGCACAATATTAATCCCGTTAACTGGCTATTTCTGTTAACGATTTTTTTTTATCATTGGGCTATGGAAAACTGAGAAACCCTGTTTGAAATGATCAACCAACCCCGTTTACTTGAACACACCGTGCCCAAAACAAGGTGTTGAGCACATCTCAAATTTATATGGTTAGAAATATCTAAAAACGCATCTGCACATTAGATCTTCATTGGTCTTCATCAAGTGGCATTTTTTCGGGAATTAGGAAATTTTTTGAAGTTGATCACATTTTTATTAGACATATCATGGCTGTCATTTTTATAAACCACACTCAATTTGATTGAAACGAAACATCTTCAGAAAATGTTAAATTAAAAAAATGTTCAATTCTTAAAAGCTCAATTCTTTTAACAGTACAGTACTTGACTATGGCATGCATTTAAGTTTCAAGAAGAGTCTTCTGAAAAAATTCACCTGGATTTTGTCCTTGATGTATAGGAGAAGGAAATTTGTGTGATATTTTTACACAATTACAGCAATATGGTCCTAATATATTCCACAAAGCTGTATACAGTATGTAGTGAGGTAACTTACTGACAAAGAGTGATAAGCGGAGCAAATTTGCAATATCCATGGAAGAATTATTTTTTCCTTGACTCAATAACTTTTCCAGTGTTGAGGGAATGATGGAACTTGTTTTGGTTGAACAAATATAGTATATTAATCTACTCCATGTACAATATGTATTTTTTAAACTTTATTATCAAATTTATATATTTGCGTTCCCCTTCTTGGAGAAAATTGTGCTCAATTATTTCACGCATGTCTCATAGACAATGATTTTCCTAAAATTTTGCGGAAGCCCTTAGAAGAGCTTGAATCTGCGAAGAAAAGGTTGAGAACCCAATTCTTCTTCCAAAGATGTCATCAGCTGTGTATGAGAAGTTGCAAAAGTAACTTTAATACATTTATCGTGTTTCCTGTTTAATTAATCAGTAAAAAAGTTATGACACACATTAAAAAAAAAAACTCTTAAGATAAATATGATTCAAAACAATTTTTCTGAACATTTTCAACTGTAACTCGATGGACCTAAGTAAAATTGAAATTTTACATTGGAATGGAGAAAAACAAGGCCACGTTTTAGGATACATTCTATTTCTCCCCTCCGGTACACAACATTCACCAAATCACGCATATTCGAACACCAACTTTTGACTCAGTTTTTGACCCTGCTTGTATAGAAACACACCAGAACACTCATACATCATTTGATATCAGGTTCCCGCAGAAAAAGGTCAAACGTACAGTCTCAAGGTAGGAATCACATATTTGTGCCCAAAAAATGGTAACCAAAATTCTCTCCTCGCATCAGGCATCCCTTAATTTCAAAACAAGACAGTTATTTCTCGTCAGACCAGGATAAATCAAATCATGGATCGCTGTATCTGAGGGGTTCATTTGTATCCCACCTTCAGCTTGCTCTGACAGCGAAACCGGCGGACTTAGTTTATACAGCCCAATGTGGTTCCCATTTGCGCAACTGCTTCAGCTGCTTGCCAATAAATCCGAAGAAAAAAATGAAACAAGGCAAAAACATTTTTTGCATCAGTTTCTCTCAAAAATAAAAGAATAAGCTGTTGCTCCGCGAAAAAAAAAAACACGATGAATCGTTACACCGTCGTGGAATGCATGGGGCTCGCGCCAGTGCTCGCAACAGACGCGACCTCTTTCCCAGAACCACGAAGCTGCGCTGTACACGTGTACTCAAGTGGCGAGAGGTCGTTTCTAATCACTTGTGGCGTCACCACTACCGGGGGTACCCAAGTGGCGTCATTTTTCGCAGCGTTGCCGTTGTGCGGCACAAGGCATTCCTTGACACTCAAGTAGCTCCCACGGCGGCTCTCGGTGGATGCTCGTCTGCCGCCGACGTTGCCTGTCACGCTTTCCGCGCCGCCACTGGCCCTCGTGCACACGGACGCCAAGCAGTTCAGCCTGCCGCCGCTTGATTCCCTACCGGCGGCGGTGATCCGCCCCGGCGGCGCCCGTTCGTACGGATCCACGTCGTGCTGCATGCAGAGATAGCAAAATATGTCGGCGAGCGTGCGACGAAACGCCTCGCGGAACTCCACGTTGAAGTAGGCGTAGATGAGCGGGTTGAGAGTGGAGTTGAAGTAGCCGATCCAGAACATGACGTCGACGACGATGTCGGGACACTCGCAGGCGTCGCCACAGAGGGACACCGTGAGGTACCAGGTGAAGAACGGTAGCCAGCAGAGGAGGAAGCAGCTCATGATGATGCCCAGGGTCTTGGCGGCCTTGTGCTCCCGCTTCATCTTGTTCAGGGTCCTGCCCTTGATGGCGGCCGTCTGAATGGCGGCTGCGACGCCCGACTGAGGAGGCACCTTGCTGTTGCTCGTCGTCACGGGCACTTTCGGCGTGGCTGCTCCACTTTCATCCCCGTCCTCATCTGTGGGATGTAGAAAGACGGAATGGATTCAATCTTCAACAATTCATCAAACTTTGTTCAGTTGGACGTGGATAACTGGAACCTGTCATCCCCAGTACCGTGTTGAATAATTGAGTACCTCATGCCGCTTTTTTCTTCTTCTGTGGAATCAAAGCAGGAAAGTGGAGTGTGGGTGATATGGCAGTACAGTTGAACCTTGATTAGTCAAACCTCTCAAAGTCAAATTTTTTCAAGTCCCCATCTGAATTCCCTCAGAAACAATGCATTAAAAATCTGCTTAACTTGAATTATTTTTCTCTCAAACCTCTGTAAGTCAAATTTTCTGAGGCATTTCAGTTATTATTTACTTCAGTTATTATTATCGTATGCAAAGCATGTGTTATTTATACAGTATATACCTGTATAAACTGTGTTATTTATACAGGGCATTCAAAAGATCGGCGTTACTATGTTGAGGTAACTTGACTGGCGAGTTATGATGCGATGAATAGACAAGCGTATTATTCATGAAAAATACTTTTCTCATATATGGGAGGCGTCCTTTCCACTGAAACTTGAAAAAAAGTTTTTGAGAGGTTGAACAAATCTCATTTCCCAGGAACATTTCAAGATCAAATTTGTCAAATTACAGTACATCACGGTATGGTAAACAGTACTTCAATTCGCTTTATTAACTTGCGATAGGCCCGGAATTACTCGTCAGAAGCGGGATTGAACACGATTCCTTGTTGTATTCGCATATGTATTCTCTGTTGTTCATTCAGAAAAACTGCAATTACTATTTAAAAGGACTCTTTCTTTGGAATATGATTCTTGTGCAGTGCTACTGTATCGTCATCAGGCGTATCTTTATCATTCGAACATTTGTCAAGACGCATATTGCACCTGATCCGCAACACTATTATCAAAGGGATCCTGAGACTTATTTTTTCAGAATACTTTTTTGCAATTGTTTGTTATTTAAAGAAAAGGGTAAACAACTAAAAGCGTTTTTCACATGTACGTGAGTGAGCTAGTGCATTTATTCATGATGTGCTTGGAAGTCTTTGATGTCCAAACATCAGTGACGTTTCTTCTACATATTGACGAATTTTTTCCTGCAGATATTCGTGAAAATATATGGGCATATAAATAAAACAAACAACTCTGATTGGTTGGATGCAAGGAGCAAAGTTCAATGCTTAGATTTGCAATAATGAACTTCAATATTGAAACTCTAAAAATATGTTCCAATCTTACAAAAAGGTTGGATTGGGAAGAATAGTTTCAATGGAATCCCTCATTATTCACTTCACTTGCGTGAGTTCAATGGAACCCAATGTTCCAAAGAAAATGTATCAATGACGTGCTAGAAATTTGCGGTAAGCCTCAAATAGTGCGTTACAAAATAATGAATTCAAGGACACCATTGAAAAATGATCTTCATTGAATGAAGATGATTTGAATTCCTGCAGTTTAGAAATGGCTCTGTATGAAGAGTTCACGTGAGAAGTTTCGGTATGCAAAGAAGTTACGCATAGAACTAAATTGGTATTAGTGTACTTCAACAATGGGACATGTTTCGGATAAGACAATCGATTAAAATGAGTTCGGGATCCATTAAAAGGTTCTGGTGGAATTCGGAAGATTGTTTACGATGCACGCGATATTTTCACAATAGAAAAAATTGCCATGCTGAAAGGTCTAAACTCTAAAGTAAAAAAGAAACCATGTTCTGTTGACATAAAAAGTAAAAATCAGGATCAAAACAACGCGGATAATAAACATCCAAAAATATTATTTCTACGCCTGGAAGAATAATTTGAACATTTCCAGTCGCCTATTCCGTACACAAAGAAGTTCCCCGTTGAGTAAAACTTATTTTTCACTACTTCGATGACGTTGAGATATTTTTTTTTAACTGAAAAATTACTGTACGTATTAAAATCCATTGAAAACCACTGGGATCCATTGATATACGTCGAAGGACACTTGAATGGTGGGCTCATCAGATGGACGGGCTATTTTCATGATCCCTTCCAAAAAAACATTGTTAGATTTCCAGGTGATGCTATGTCTAAAATCAGAATTAAATCACGTATTATATATGCACATTTGAAAATACAGATATTCCAGGATCAAATCAACGCAGATAAGACTTCTTCGAACTTATTTATCCAAGGCTTAGAGGCAAGCATTGAAACATTTTTGTCACCTTTTGGAAGAGGAATTGACAAAAATGGCACGAAAGTAAAAAAAAAATGTAAGAAAATAACATTCGCATGCCAGTCGCCCCACTTGCACACTCAGTGTTTTGGCAGCAGGGGTGTCATTCAGCAATGGCCCTGGCCCTTATCTGTTCATGTATGACGGACCAGCAGCAAGGATATATCGGTTTATTGGGAAATCGACCGTCATTTTCAGAGCTGTGCGCGCTGTAGAATACTCAGCGAATTATTCCTGGCCTTCGTCTGAATTCCAGCGTCTCATTAATTATGCACGGCCTCAACAATTCTTGCAAATTTCATGCCGTAATTCGGAGATTAGGACGACGTCATTGAGGACTCTTCGATCTATATATACATCACTTGCCTTCATTCTTTTGATTTTTCACAGGATGATTTCGGTCAAATATTGCGAATGCATTCATTTAATTACTTTTTTGGGAATTCCAGGCAGAAAAAAAGGAGGATGAAATTGCAGAGAAAGTATTGAACTATTTCCAGCAAATGTTTTCCTTTTCTTGTTTTCTTCGCTTTTTCTTTTTTGCGAAGACAGCAGAAATTATCCTCGGGTTACATTTGTGAGGAAACCGCAGGCTTTGAACAAATTATCCTTCTTGTATCTATGAGGACGGCAAGAAATGCCAGTTTCTCCACGACTCAGCAGAACCTAATTTCCTGACAATGTACCCAAGGCCGCGGGTTTTAGTGCCCGAATTTCGAGAGAAACCCAAGTGGTTCGTTAAGAGCCAGTATATATAGCTGGAAAACACGAAGATATTTTGGACCTTGTCCTGAATTTCTTCTCCTTACGCGGATCTCTGACGAAATTCTGAGCAAATTCGAGTCGAGTGGGCGAAAATAAATCTTTTGAGCCCACAAGAACAGAAAAGCTAGGTTCTTTTCACCCTAATATTGCCTTTTTGAGATCAGTGATTCTTCAGAGGATCACGCTTCAATTAATTATTCCACTTATGCTTTGAATACAGATAGAATTTTTTATTAAATAATTTTCACATCCTCAGTCTAGGGATTTCCATGCAGAGGAGAGTATATAAATAAGATCAATTCCGAATCAAAGCGTATTTTATGAAAGATTTGAGAAAACGTAATAAAGAGAGGGGAGCTTAAAAATCATTCGATGATCTTCTGAATATTATGCAGTTTTCTGGTGTCGAGTGGATTCGGCTGAAGAACACGAGGAATTAGAAAAAATTTGACGCTTTTTCCTACGAATATTCTCGTATATAAAGAACATTTCTTCACGTAAGTTCTTGGATGGCTCACAGCATGGAGTCAGCGAAGAAAAAGGTTTCCGTTGTCACGCGGAAAATTTAATATTTAATTCAAATTTTAACAAAATTTTATATTTTCTTGACAATAGAAGACGAATACCTTACAGGAGCCTGAGTTCAGCAGGCTATTGCGAAAACATTTTTTTTTCTAATATGTCCAAAAATGTTTTTCATGAAAAATTTGTATGCTTTTATTCATGGAAAAAATTAAAATCTTTCCTCGTCTCGTCTTCCCCAGGGAATCCGAAAATTCCTAGTAATTGAGTAACGATGTCGAGTCAAGCCTTTTCCGACATGATGGCATTCACCCGTAATCGATCTTACCTTCGCAGGAAGGCTTTTCATGTTTAAATCAATACTGACAATAAAGGCCTTGAATTTCCAAAAATCGCCTGCATTGCATTGAACAAATCTATCACTGCGGCAGGCACAGCTTTAGATCTAAACGCCTAATTATTTGCTATGGGAAAATAAATAGATAGCTATAGAGACAGATTCGTTTTAGTCTAAATGATTGTAATTTTTCAGAGTCCTGCACTTGTGTCTCTCTATATAGGGAGTTGTTTTTCAAGCATCAAAGCCTGTCGAGAGTGAGAGAAACACGAACGTCGTCTCTGCTTTCCTCGTTAGCACCGCTGTTCTCGTACAGACATCCGGAAGGAAATTCAAGTGCGAAAAGCGTCGGGAGTGAAAATCCCTGGTGTCTGGTTCTTCCTGCTTTTCCCCGGGTACTGCTGGGGAGGGGGAATGGTTTCAAGGGGATGGCACATTCATAAACTCTCCTCTGTGCGAAGTTCGCTCCCTCCAAGTTTTCGCGTGGGTGGTTGGGTGCGTCGGGGGGTTTCGGGAGAGAATTTTATCGTGGGATCTTTTTACGGGGCGAAATTGCGACAGGTTGCGGCACCGTGATCTTCCCTCGTACCCGCCAGCAGGTGAACCCGAAAACAAAGGACCGGTGTTTGAACATTCCTGCTTTTTAACCCCAACAAACTCCTAAATTCTTGTTCTGACTTATTCTGAGTAATATCTACGTTGCCGGAGGATTAAAATGCTGTAATCAAAAATAACCGACCTGAGTTTGAGAATTTTTATAGAAAAAAATACTTGAAATTAAACGCTCTTCCTAAAAAAGGGGGATTGAACGGGTTGGGGACGAATGTTCTCCAAGTTATGCGATCAAACGACAGTAACTTGGAAATATTGTACTTGGCAGCATAAAAAAAACAAAAGAATTTTTGTTTGACTTCAGGCAGGCATCAGACATTTTTCCAGATATTTTCCGAAACATTTCATACAGGATTGCGAAGAGTAAAGGAGTATTACTGGTGATGGCGGGTTTCTGCAATGCTGTCTCAATTCGTAATCCTTTCAGCGAAAAAAAAATCAACGAGAGATAATATCATCGCGTTTATTG